TTCCTTGGAAACAGGTTCAGAGTGCTCAGCAATCCAGGCACTTGACCCCTATAGCCAAGAGAGGAAACCTGGCTACTGCTCCAGCTGGCAACAGACCTTGGCATTATCTACATGTTGGCTTTAGGCACATTCAGAATGCATGAGTTCTGAGGTTAAGAAAGCTTCCACCTAGATTTCAGAAGGAGGCCTAGGAGGACAGGCAGTGTGTGAAGCAGAGTGAGAAGCCCATTCAATGGAAACTCCAGAAGTTTGGAAAAGCCAGGAAGGTGGATTGTCTGAGGAAAGCTGTAAGGAGAGCAAAGCCAGCCCCAGAGAAAAGCTATGGGTGCTATGAGCAGAAGTGCTGTAGGGGTGAAGCCATGTAAGGTTTTTGGAGCTCACAACTTCCTGCAGATTGCTTCAGATGTTCCACACATAGCTATAGGACTTAATGTTTGCCCTTCTGGAGTTTGGACTTCTTTTGGCCCCAATGCTTTGTATCCTCTGTGTATCTTTTGGAACAGTAATGTTTATCTTGCCAGGGGCAGAATGTTATGGTTCTCATGTAATATAATGTTGATAGACTTAATAGCAATTTTTAAAAAATTTATTTTGTTTTTAATGTATCTGGTTGTCACAAGGTTTCACTACGCAGCTGTTTTCAGCCTCCTCAGTGCTGGGATTACAGGTGTGCATCACTATGCCTGGACTCTGTGGCTGGCTCAACCCGCCCTGGGTTTATCTTGTACCCTTGAATGTTAGAAGTGTTCAACTTTTCATTTGTACAGGGGCACACAGCTAAGAGTTTGCCTTAGATCTTGGGGGAGACTTGGGTCTTGGACTTTTCAGCAATAGCATCTCTTGCAGAGAGACTAAGTGCCTTTCGCATTAAAGGATGTGCATGAGTTTTTGGGGAGGGGCAGAGCAGAATATTATGGTTCTCATGAACTACAATGTTGATAGACTTAATAGTGATTCTTTTTTTTTTTTTCAGTATTTATTTATTTATTTGTGTGTGTGTGTGGCCAGCTCAGCCCACCAGGGGGTGGGGCTGACTGGCATGTGGTGCTGAGGGATTGAACCACGGTCCCTTGTGCTTTGCTGAGCTTGTTCTAAGTAGGTGCTTTAGACCACTGAGCCATCTCACCAGCCCCAAATAGTGATTCTTAATGATAGTCAAATCTGTGTTATAATGTCAAAGATGTAAAATGTTAATAAGCATGTCTCTATAAGCTTATTAATTGGTTCAAAACTTATTGAAGCTGTTAAGCTGAACTGCCATGAACTGCTGCCTCTGCCACGTGCCAAAATCTGTAAGTTCTGTCCCTTTGTACTTTGTGGGTCTGATAACACTGAAGACAAGCTGAATGATTAACAAATTGGTTTAAAGAAGAATATGTGTAGTTGCCAAGTTGACAAGAAGTGGACTGTGGTAGTTGATACATTGTGTCAACTTGAGGGGTTAGCAGCTTAAGTGGATTGGCTTGGTGACTCCATGCCCTAAGGCCCCACCCCTAGGGTGTGGAGGGCGCTGCCCTAGAGTGACTCAGCACTTGAAGGGTATATAAAGGAGTTGAGGAAGGCTTCTGGGACCACTTCCTTGGAAGATCTTGATCTTCACAGCCATGCCTGAGCTCTAGTCTTCACAGTCAATGCAGAAGGAAGTGAGAGAGGCTTGATATATGCCACAGCTGCTGCTCCTTCCTCTGCTCTTTGCTGTTTTCTGCCACCATGAACTGCTGCCCTTTGCCATATGCAAATTGGCCTTGGAGCCAGTGGAGTATGGATTGAAACCTCCATAAACTGTGAGCTAAATAAACCTTTCCTTCCTTAATTTTGGGTGTTAGGTATTTTGTCCCAGCAATGAGTGAAAAGTAACTGAGACAGCCATATAAAATTATTTACTAACAATAACTCAGAATCATTTTGTTAAAAGGAATTTCCAGTTTTCCTGAACAAGATTTCACAAACAAACCAGCAAGAGTCTCATATATTGGCCACTGAAAGGAAGGTAGGACAGACAGAAACTACTATGTTAGCTTATTAAATTTCTCTTTTGGTTAGGCAATAGAGACACTTGTTCATTGATAAATTCATCCAATAAATAATAACTGAGTACCAAATAGGTATGGGAATTGTTTTCTGAATGAACTTGTGTTAGGACACTAAAAGGGAATGAGATGCATGTGGTATGGTTAAAAGATATATAAAATGCTATAAGAACATGGATGGTATCTATGAAGAGTTAGAGGAGCTACTTAGGGAAGTAGTATTTGGAAGAAGAGAGTGTGGTGTTTAGAAGTCTTCTGACATTGTATTTCAACAATCATAACTATATACACTTATAGAATTAGGACTTTAACAAATAATACAGATCAGTGATCTTATTTTACTTTTAAAAAAGCTAAACTCTTTAAAGTACGTGTCTTCGTTAATAAGAGGATGACTGTGATACAAAGTGAGGTCATACTTAAAGAACTGAACACTACTGTGTTGAATAAAAGCAGCTGAGAACACCAGTGTTGTAATAATTTGGCTTAAAAAACTTCTAATCTTTGTATTGTGAAAGATGTCTGTCATCTGATATAGTAGGTAATATGATAAATACTTAAGAGACCATCTCCAGCTGATTTTATTCCTACCTACACAATGTTAAAATCTGTAACTTCCAGTCTCTTTGTACTTTGTGGGTCAACACTGAAGACAAAAACTGCTTAATATATAAACATAGTTAACTCATTAGATCATCTAAGTTTTTCCACTTCTTTAACCAGCTTGTTCATTAAATTTTAATAAAATTGAGATGCAGGAGCTATTACATAAAATGATTCTTTTTAAATCCCCTGCAGATGTTAGCTAAATTTTGAATGAAAGCTTTACCATCTAGAAGTTACCAACCACTAAGTAACAAGTTAACCATGGTCAACAGTAGAAAGAAAGTATACCACAAAGCCAAAATCAAGTATGAGTGTAATTTAAGAAACAGGAAATGCCAATGCATCCAAACAGCATACGTATCATTTGTAGTGCATCATGCGAAGTGATGGTAAGGATTTTTGGAATAGTTAATAGAATTTTGCCTCATAAAGTTCTACCTAAAATGTGTGTGCTATCATCTTCGACTTCAGAGCTTTTTTTTCCATTTCTGGTACATAACTAGAAAACAAAAATCTAATTATAAAGCTTAACTCTGAAAATAGAAGTTAATCACTTAATGAAGTAAGTATAGGATTTCTTTAAAGCATGTTCATTAATAATAAAAATCTAATTTATGTAACTTTTCAGGAACATGTATTATATAAAGGTAGACAAAACTCAGAATTCTGAATATTCATTTTAATAGGATTTTACCCCCAGCTTTTAAAAATTTAATATTAAGGTATATAAAATACACACACACATGTGCAGGTCTTTTTTCCCTTCACAAATATAATACACACTCAAAAGTTATGTACTAACTACATAAATCTTTGGGGTCTAGGAGACTCTGTGCTTTATATGATTCTCAGCATCTCTGGCCACTTTTCACTAAATCACTGATAAAAACTCAATGATTCACACTATCTCAAAGTCCCCTTTACAGATTCCTACCACTGCTGCTAACAACTGCTACATAATGATCTAAATATTTTGGTAAGTTAGAGTACCTACCTTAGTGATGACAAACATTTTAGAGCTTTCAATTATTGCCTGGGGGATGGGGAGATAGCTCAGTAGAATAAGCGCTTGCCTGGCAAGCGCAGGGTCCTGAGTTCAATTGTCTGATACAACATACATGTCATAGGTGGACATCACTGATCAACATGTGGACTATTACAGGTTCTTGACTTACTGATCTTTCTTTGATCTGAGGACTACCTTTAACTGAAAATCCTAGTATACTTCCAAACTAGAATCTCCTAATAAGAAACTTCATCTAACATTGTATCTGTTTTAAAAATAGTAGACAGTAAAGTTATCTTTACATATATGGTAGAGAATTAAAGACAGTTGTAATGATAATTCTGCCTCTTCTCTTTATCCATCTCCCCTAAACTATGCTTTCCCTTGCATTTTCTAAGTAATCAAGGTCAAACTGAAGAGAGACACACAATTGCAAAGATACACTGAAGTAACTAATCAAAACTCATTTATTTGACACTTAAATGTATTACTGCATTTTTATTTAGTAAAGTATCTCTTTAATTCAAGTTTGATTGTGCATCTATTAAAAGTAGTTTAAATTTCCTAATCAAACCAATGACTAGGAGCCAGGGATATGGCTCAGTGGAATAAGCACTTCCCTGGCAAACACAAGGGCCTGAGTTCAATCCCCAGTCCTCCCCGACAAAAAAAAAAAGAAAAAAAAAAAGACCCTGTCTCAAACCAATGACTAAAGTGTATTTCTTTTGGAAAGAATACTGAATCTGAGACCTGGAAAGATAATGACCTAAATATTTTGATCAGTTTCAATTACTGGAATTAGGATACATACTTTATTTTTGGCACTGAAACACTTTCATATATACACCAGATTTTATGTTAAATTAGTACATACCCATTCAACTTCTACACATTATGTAGCCTGCTTTTTCACTAGTTACCCAATAAGACCTAAAAGAAATCAACATTTCATTTTTAAAATAATCTTGATAGGATTATCTTTATATCTAAAACTAGCACAAAAATTACCTCATTCACACACAGAAATCTTGTGACTAAAAGAACAGAAAATTTTTGTGTTGCAAATTTTTGACTAATGTGACTTAGCTATTTCCAAAAATTCTGACAAAATGTGGAAACTGTATGTTTGTGTACTATGTGATAGCCACTTTTGAATCAGTTTTAAAGTAACCAGGCATTCAATACCACTCTAAAAGGTCTATGATTAGAACATAAGTCATATTTTCTATTATACTGAACAGAGAATTCTGGTACCAAAAAATGAACAACCCCCATGCATAGAAAATACATGATTTAAAAACTTTGTTGTACGAAAGTTCTGACACATACCAAATATAAATTCCAGACTTTCCACTTACCTAGTACTAGGCTGTTTTTGGAGGGCTTTATCCAAAATAAGAGATGGAGCACTCCTCCTCCTTTCTGCTAGTGTTTTCATTTTCTATTGAGAAAAAGAAAAATCAAAATGAAGACCACATGGCTTATAAAAGAAGAAACTGCTGACTTTTCAATCCAACAAGTTCATTCTTATCTGGGAGATTATAATTTCATTATGGCTGTTATGCTATAGTACATGAAACAGGATAATAAATGTTAAGAGAGGTATAGCTAGTGTTCTCTATGGTAACAGAATAAAGAGATTAAAGGATGACTACAGAATCTAGGAAAAGTGCCATCATAACCGTTACTATTGTTCACACTATGTCAGGCTCTATGCTGAATGCTGGATATGAATTATCTCCTTTATATCCACAAATATCATCAGGGTAGGCACAGTAGTACTACCTTGATTTCATAGGTAGGATAGTCCCAAACTGAGTTTCAAAGAAAGAAAACTTAGGTCAAGAAAACTGAAGGGAAGCCAGTTAAACCAAATCAATGGAGTTACGGTTTGTGCAGAAGTCTCTCCAAAGCCTTATTCAATCATGGGGCAGGCTTCTAGAGTTTTTGTGTGAGTGCTACACATGCCCTGGGGCGAGCAGTCTACATACAGTACAAAGGAGGGAAAGTGGCTTGCTCTTGCACTTCCTTCATTTAGCTCTTGCTGGTTTCCACCGCCATGAACTGCTGCCCTCTTCCATGTGCCAATGTGCATGAAGCCCGCTGATTAAGGACTGAAACTTCTACAAACTGTGGGCTAAATAAACCTTTGCTTCCTTAATTCTGGGTGTCAGATATTTTGTCTCAGCAATGAGAGAAAAAGATGAATAATGACTAGATTCTTACATAAAAATATAATCTTTGTATTTTATTTTAAATTTAAATAAACATTTTGGAATTGCTTATTCAAAAAAGATGTTTTATTGTAATTAAGTACTTTTCTTCTTTTTAAAATGGTATGTAAATATAAATCAGATACTTCAGTATATTTTGTTTCCAATGATCTAAATTTTATAGTAAATTAGGCTTTGTTTCATTTGAATTATCAGCTAATTACTCTCTATATTCAATCTTACATATCTAAGAGTACTAGATATAGCCACAGGGCCTCCTTCTAGAGACAGATGAGCAAAATGAACAATATCGTCACAATGCCAATAGTCATGAGTGAAATTCAGACTGTATCATCAAAGTCATTCTTCCTTCTTATCCTATCAAGACTCAGAGGTCTCACCCATTGTTTAAGGGCCCAGGCCAGCCATGCTTGGGAAGAGAATGTTGCTCTAACAGGAACCATGTAAAACTCACCAGCAGACTCAGTGTCAACATCCCAATACATGATTCATAAAGGGACTGCTTCTTACCCAGTAAAATAAAACACAGATAGTAGAATAGGAATCAAGGAGGAATCATCCAATGGAATAGAGATGCTGTGCTTCTATGTCATGATTCTTATCCCACAGATTCACCATGGATCTCTCCTAAATGACTGCTTTGGTCTCAGTGTTAGTGTTTCCCTCCTTGATCCTTTGGCTTACATGTAGATACTGTATCTCTAAATCTAGCAGCAGAGACCATTATTTAAAAGTTAGTATATAAAACATTATCAGAGGATGGAAAATGAATGGGTTAAGAAGTAGAGATAATCAAAAATTTTAATCAGAGGGTATTAACTATGAACCAGCTTTTAGGCTCCAGGTTACTGTATATTTGGTCCCTTCCTTATACAGAAAGTTATTACCAGGCTCCCCAGGGTTTAATCCCTCTCAACGATAGTGATTTTCAGTAACCTGGTTTCTATACCATGCTTCACCATCTTAAATGCATGGTTTTCATTGGTCACTGCCTTTAGAAATGCAACCTTCAGGAATCTAGCATACTGCGGCTGGTACAGGCAGCATTTACCCATACAAAGATCCTCAACACTGGGAAGACTGAACTGATTTTAGCAAGATGGGGGACAGTTAGTTCATATGTACCAAGCTATGCTCCAGATTTGTGCAAGATTCTGTTTCATGTTCAGGCTTTGGCTTGATTCCTATTCTTTACTGTTATTCTTTTTGTTTAGGACCCACTTTTTTCTTTAAAATTAGAAATGGACCCAATTCAGTTAGCTTTACTTTTGGCCCCTTAGCCCCTCCCTGTCTCGACCTCGAAGGTCTGTCTAACCTATCCTGTCCTTTCTGGACCTACCTGAGCTCTGTGTATGCTGCTTTTAGCTCTCTGACATCATACTCAGTAGGGCCAAGACATTAGGTCTTCATTAGCACATGATCCAAATGCTGGACTACTTGGCATTCAGGTTTAAAAGAATTGGGAGAGGACTCCAAGGACAGCTATCCAATGATTAAATATGGGAAAAGCAAAACCTGTGGGAGAAATGTTAAAATGATCTGAGGTTCTTGTCTAAGGCTACTGCCTGATCACATTCAATCTGAGATTTTTTTTTTTTTTTTTTGTATTTTAGGGAAGGGTCTACAGGGTGTTAGGGTGTCAGGGTGTTCAGGGTCTCACTACTAGATCTGACTCAAAGTGATCCACCTGTTTACAGCCTCCCAGAAGCTGGGATTACAGGAGCATGCCACCACGCCTAGTCTCACTTGCTGTCTCAGCATACCCTGGGGATGGGGCCAGAATGGCAGGCCCAGGGATCAAACCCCCAGCCCCTGCACCTGCTTGCAAGGGCTTTAATCCACTGAGCTATTTGGCCAGCCTCAATCTGAGATTCTTTACTGGAAACACTATCACATGAAAATGCAAATAAGCATATCACATGAAAGAAAGTAAGCATGTTTAAAGGAGATTATTTATTTTTTATTTTTGATACAGGGTCCTGTAATGGTACTAGAATAAAGAGGTACATGAAGAAGAATAAAGTTAGGCTTCTAAGTCATAACACACACAAAAGTTGTTTAAAATTGATTAAAGACCTACAGGTAAGAGCTAAAACCATGAAAACCTGAAAAAAATTGGAAAAATTCATAAGGTAATCAATGGTTTTTTAAGTAATTTTGAGATATATATACTCAAAGCACAGGGAACAAATGATAAAAACAGATAAGCTAGATATTCTTGAGATTTAAAACTCCTATGCCTCAAAGCTACCATTAAGTTATAAGACAACTCTCTTAATGGAGAAAATTTCTTCAAATTATCTATTTAATAAGTGACTTATTTAGACTATGTAAGGAAATAGTGTAACTCTCTATATAGCACATTATCTAACAAAAATACAGGCATGCATCTGAACATAAAAAAGTTCTCCAGAGCTACACAAACAACCTTAAGCATATGAAAAATTATTCAATATTATTAGCCACAAAGGAAATTAAATAAAAACCACAATGAGATGCTACTTCATATACATTAAAGTGACTATAATGAAAAAGATAAATAGAAGTCATAGGTTTTGGCTAAAACTTTCTTGATAAGGACTGTAATATCACAGGAAATAATAGCAGTAGTCAACAAATGGAACTATGTCAAATTTAGGGGCCTGGGGATATAGCTCAAAGGCACAGCACCTGCCTGGCAAGCTTGAGGTCCAGAGTTTGATTGCTAGTACCTCATGCAAACAACCAGAACCCTACCACCAGCACCAAATTCAGACATTTGAGCAGTGAGAGCAACAAATGGGAGTCAAGAAACAGCTTATAAGATGGGAGAAAAATCTCTACCAGCTACTCTTCTAGCAGAGGATTAATATTTAGAGTATATATACAACTAAAAGAAAACCTTAAAAATAAAACAAATTCAATAAATAAGCAAAAGACTTAGACACTACTAAAAACACATACAGATGGCCAGTAAGTATGAGAAAAAATGTTCATCTTTAACCATTAGGAAAATGCAAGTCAAAACTACAAAGAAATTTCACCTCTTCCCATTCAGAATGGCTATCATTAAGAATACAAAAAAA